TTTTAGCCAAGAGGAGCTGTTCCATCACAGACTTAGTCACAAGCCAAACCATTTGCTGTTAGGGAGAGTGGGAAGTCAATTAAAACTACCTTCTTCATTGACAGAGGACTCCTTCTAAAAAGTCCACCACTAATGCCACACTTTGGAAAGAGAAGTAGCATACATTTTTATTTATTTTTATGGCTTTACCTAAAAGAAAGGGAATTATGACCGAATACAATGTCTTCTCCTTAAAGTTTCTCTTTTTCTTCAACTATTCTTTTTTTGCGGGGGCAGGGGGTGGTGGGACAGAGTCTCTCTCTGTCGCGAGACTGGAGTGCAGTGGTGCGATCTCGGCTCACTGCAACCTCTGCCTCCCAGGTTCCTCGATCTCTTGACCTCGAGATCCACCCGCCTCGGTCTCCCAAAGTCCTGGGATTACAGGCATGAGCCACTGCGCCCAGCCTCTTCAACTATTATTTATTTATTTATTTATTTATTTATTTATTTATTTATTTGTTTATTTATTTTGTGACGGAGTCTGGCTCTGTCGCCCAGGCTGGAGTGCAGTGGCGCGATCTCGGCTCCCTGCAAGCTCCGCCTCCCGGGTTTACGCCATTCTCCTGCCTCAGCCTCCCCAGCAGCTGGGACTACAGGCGCCCGCCACCTCGCCCGGCTAATTTTTTTTTGTATTTTTAGTAGAGACGGGGTTTCACCGTGTTAGCCAGGATGGTCTCGATCTCCTGACCTTGTGATCCGCCTGCCTCGGCCCCCCAAAGTGCCAGGATTACAGGCCTGAGCCATCGCACCCTGCCCTCTTCAACTATTCTTAAACGTTTTTTGAAAAACCCACTCCTCACCTTCCTGGTAAGGTTAGTGGTGGTGTTTTGTTTGAAAAGGAGTCTTGCTCTGTCACCCGGTCTGGAGTGCAGTGGTGTGATTTCAGCTCACTGCAACCCCCGCCTCCCAGGTTCAAGTGATTCTCCTGCCTCAGCCTCCCAAGTAGCTGGCATTACAGGCACCCACAACCACACCTGGCTAATTTTTGCATTTTTAGTATAGATGAGGTTTCGCCATGTTGGCCAGGCTGGTCTCGAACTCCTAACCTCAGGTGATCCACCTGCCTCGGCCTCTCAAAGTACTGGAATTACAGGCGTGAGCCACCGCGCCCGGCCGTAATCTTCTTAATGTTATTTTGAAAGCTGAATTTTCGTCTATCTTTGTTGATTTTGCCATTGATGTGGGAAATGATTTCAGTTTGTCTAAAGAACTTTAAAGTTTTCTCATCAAGGTGGAAACATTGTTTTAGTACAAACTTGTCAAATGAAAAGTGTAGTGGAAAGGATTGTTTCTCAAACTGAATTTATGTGTTTTGTGCTTAGGCTCACCTTGTATGTGTCGCCTCTGATTTCACACTCTGGTTTCAGACTAACATTTTACCAACTTAATCAAGGTCACTTTTCTCTCCTCTAAGGTATTAATTAACAAGCCACCCAGTTCAGCTCCCTATAACAATATGTTTTGAATTCTTTCATCAGGAAATCAATGAAATATGAAAATAACTACACTCATCACAGCTTTGCACTATCATTTGATTCATTTCCTCTAGAAGCATGGCTGTAACTGACTACTGTTCAGCTGCAAATTTGCCAAATTGTTCAACTACCTAGAAGTGAGGTAAACCAGACTGTACTATTTTAGTTCTTTGAAAGTTTCTTCCCTCTTCTCACAGCTGCTGCAGCTGCTAATACTTCACCATAAGTAGAAATCCTTAGACCTCAACCTGCCTAGATTGAAACTGATCCAATCTTCTGTCCACGGGTTTCACAGAAGAATGCAGCATAGGGTAGCTATGACAACACTAGTTTGATTAAAGAAAAGTAAACTCCAATAATCTAGAATTCCCTTTAGCCATTGTTTCAAAGGGGAATTTATCATACTTTGCATTGCAACTTGGCGTATGTGGTAACAATAATATGAAAGAGCTACTGCTGGAATTAAAAGACTTACATGCAATCCATTTTTCTTTATCTCCCCTCTGCCTCACCACTGTTTTTTCCCCTTGTGTTTCAGTTTGGTTTCAGGACTGTATATAGAATAAAGGGCAGATTGATCTTGGGGGAAAACCATTTTAATACAATATGGTGACCAAAAATGTTTGTTTAAAAAATAAACATAAGCAAGCCAGGCTTGGAGTCTCATGCCTGTAATCCTAGCAATTTGGGAGGCCAAAGTGGGTCAGGAGTTCAAGACCAGCCTGGCCAACATGGTGAAACCAAATCTCTGCAAAAAATACAAAAATTAGCTGGGCATGGTGGCACGCACCTGTAATCCCAGCTTCTCGGGAGGCTGAAGCAGGAGAATCACTTGAACCTGGAAGACAGAGGTTGCAGTGAGCCGAGATGGTGCCACTGCACTCTAGCCTGGGCAACAGAATGAGACTCTGTCTTGGAAACAAAAATAAAAATAAAAACATAGCATATTATAATAATTGTAGTAGCTAGGTGGTAAATCCCTGAAGGTTTAATATACTCTCCCTCAACTTTCGTGTATGTTTAAAAATTCATAACAAAATATTAAAATCAGTAAGCATTAAAGTACATTCTCATTCTCTTTTGCTGTGGTACATCTTATCAGATATCCTCTGAATTACCCTTTGCCTCATTCGCCCAAATTGGATTTAAATCCAGAGACAGGGATTAAAATATAACTGAGGTAAAATGTGCTGTCATTTTATTGTATTTGAGAATATAATGGGGAAAGTACAGAGATAATAGCAAAGTGATAGTGATCCCTGAATGCTAGAAAATAGGGGCCACTCAGGCAAGTTGTTGATGTTGATTCTGTATGTTTAGAGACAGGGAGGAGAGAACATGGTGAGGGGTTACACAGGGTTGCTGTGAGGAAATAAGGGTTTAAAGAAACTCTGAATTCAGACAGTCAAGAACACGAGGGAAAAAAAAAAAAAAGAACATGCTCAGAAGGGGCTGGTAACTAAAGGTGGAGCTCAGGAGATCTCCAGATATTTTTACATTTCCGAAATAAAGGAAAGAAGGCTGATCATGAGGTATCTGTGGTTTCAATCCCAGTGGCTCTGGATAGGTTGGACACTCAAATGGCTGCAAGGATTGCTGTTTTAATCTGAAGCTCATCCAGCCAGAAAGGGACCCTGCATCTATAAGATACAGTTTTTTAAAGAAAGGTTTATTTGCCCTTGGCTTGAGAATGGAAGTAGAGTGAACTAGAAAGGAAAGTGATGTCATGAGTTAGGATTCAAGGGGGGAATTGAGATTGCTTAAGAGAGGTAGTTTATGGCTTTCAGGCTGTACTGAGCGAATGAAGCAACATACAGCAGTAACTTACCTCATCTAGCTATAGTTTGTCCCTGAGATTGCCCAAGAGGATAGTAATATAGTTGTGGAATTGTTCAGATTGTGTGTACTATATTTTGGTGAATATAATGGAAAAGTCATGCTCTGGAGAGGACTATCAGTCTGTAGAGAGGTATTTGGAAAAGAGATCCCTCCTGGCTTGAATCTTTAAATGGTTGAAAGGTAAGCTTTTGCTCAAGATGAAGGTCAGATAAAACCTAGGTGAAGTTGCTTTTTGTTTGGGATTTGAGAGTGGTGTTTCATCAAGTGTTTAGAACCTTCTTGCAAAAGTATAAATAAATTTCTCAATTCCCTTATTCTCTTTATAAATAGCAATTTCTCACTTATGTGCTATTCTTCATTTGCCTGAAAAACAAAATAAGGCTTTCTAGTATCTACCCACAAATACTCAGTAGCTTTGTGGGTCCTGCTTTGTTATTCCCATTTGTGATTTCAGAATTTATCTTGAGAATATCCCTTTGAAACTAGCCAAAGATGCAAAGTTGGAATGCCCATTACTTAAGAAAACATGATTAAATTCTAAGTCATCTTCACAAATCTGATTACCTTTAATAGGGGCAAAAGCAGATTAAATCACTTAAAAGAAATAGATGTCATAAATTTATGTAAGAAAGCAGAATATTATCTAGTGTCATGATGTATCAGAAATAAACAAACAAACAGAAACCTCTACATTGACCACTGACCAGGTCTTAATCAGGGTACTGTTTTTCAGGAGAAATCCTTGTAATGTAGATGAAATGACAAGGCAAAGATCTCTTCTGAAAAGGAGAAATTCAACCAATGTGTCAAGGTTTACTAAATGACAGGAGGAAAGCTTAAATGAAGTAGAGAAAAGATCACTAAGTTAAGAATAGAATCTAATAATCTTCAAATATCTAGAAAGGAATCATAGAATTGTGATCAATCATTCTACATTTGAATAGAAGGCAGGGAAAGAGCAAGTTGCAAAAATACTTATTATTATCATGAAATGACTTCCTTATCATAAAAAGTATGTAAGATTGTAGTGAATAAGCATGAAGAAATCTCATCAAAAGACATACTTAAGTTGGGATTAGGCACGGTGGCTTACACCTGTAATCATAACACTTGAGAAGGCTGAGGTGGGAGCATTGCTTGAGGCCAGAAGTTTGAGACCAGCCTGGGAAACATAGCAAGACTCCATTTCTACCAAACAAGCAAACAAACAAACAACAACAACAACAAAAAAACTGGGCAGTGGCACGCACCTGTAGTCCTAGCATCTCAAAAGGTGGAGGCAGGAGGATCGCTTGAGCCCAGGAATTTGAGGCTACAGTAAGCTATGATCACACTGCTGGCACTCCAGCCTGGTAACAGAGTATAACGCTGTCTCATAAGGAAAAAAATATATATGTTTAATTTGGATGACAAATACCCTTCTGTCTCACAGAAAGCATTAAAAGGAAGTTCAAAATTCTTTCTATCCCTAAAATCCTGAGATTATCTGTAGAATCAAGAATTAATATTGTTCTTTATGAATGACCTAACAGAGATTCTGAAACCTTGGATACCTATCAAATTTTGATAAGTTGGTGACTAATAATATTCTAAAGAAACTGACATGGCAGTAAGTGTGGTAGAAAAGCATAATAATCCTAGAGCCTTTCGGCTCTCTGATCAGCACCATGGCGGTTGGCAAGAACAAGCGCCTTACGAAAGGCAGCAAAAAGGGAGCCAAGAAGAAAGTGGTTGATTCATTTTCTAAGAAAGATTGGTATGATATGAAAGCATCTGCTATGTTCAATATAAGAAATATTGGAAAGACGCTCGTCACCAGGACCCAAAGAACCAAAATTGCATCTGATGGTCTCAAGGGTCGTGTGCTTGAAGTGAGTCTTGCTGATTTGCAGAATGATGAAGTTGCATTTAGAAAATTCAAGCCGATTACTGAAGATGTTCAGGGCAAAAACTGCCTAACTTCCATGGCATGGATCTTACCCGTGACAAAATGTGTTCCATGGTCAAAAAGTGGCAGACAATGATTGAAGCTCATGTTGATGTCAAGACTACCGATGGTTACTTGCTTCGTCTGTTCTGTGTTGGTTTTACTAAAAAACGCAACAATCAGATACGGAAGACCTCTTATGCTCAGCACCAACAGGTCCGCCAAATCCGGAAGAAGATGATGGAAATCATGACCCGAGAGATGCAGACAAATGACTTGAAAGAAGTGGTCAATAAATTGATTCCAGACAGCATTGGAAAAGACATAGAAAAGGCTTGCCAATCTATTTATCCTCTCTATGATGTCTTCGTTAGAAAAGTAAAAATGCTGAAGAAGCCCAAGTTTGAATTGGGAAAGCTCATGGAGCTTCATGGTGAAGGCAGTAGTTCTGGAAAAGCCACTGGGGACGAGACAGGTGCTAAAGTTGAACGAGCTGATGAATATGAACCACCAGTCCAAGAATCTGTTTAAAGTTCAGACTTCAGTTAGTGTCAAATAAAAAGTGCTATTTGTGGGAAAAAAAAAAAAAAAGAAAGAAAAGCATAATAATCCTAGAGTAAGACAATCCTGACTCTTTCCTCACAAATCTTATGACTGTCTACATCTGAATCTCCACATTTGGAAACTATTACATTTGAAATCCAACTTCAAGAGTTGTACAAATGATAAGATAATATATGTGAAAAGTTTAAAAACTATAAAGCATTGTAGGCATGTAAGTTTTTGTTAGTAGTAGTAATACTGTTAGAAACAAATCATTCCTATTTCTCAGTGACACATGTGTGAATCTCTGTACTATGAGTACAAAGCCTTTCTCTCGTTGCACAAAACTATGCAAGGGAATTAATCCAAGAATTAAAGAAGGGCCTCAAGGTTAATCATTTACTTTTATTTGTTTTTAAAGTTGTTTTTACAAGAATATACATTCATACAACAAAGTTCACAAAGTGTATTCTCAAATAATTTTAATAAATGAATATACCTGTGCATCCACCATTCAGGTCAAAATATAGAACATCACCAACATCCTAGAATGTTAACTTATGTTAATACCTCCTTCTCAAAGATAACTACTGTTCCGATTTTCATTTTAACTATCTTAGAAGTTCACATAAATAAAATCACACAGTGTGCACTCTTTTGTGCCTGGCTTCCTTGGCTCAACATGTTTCTATGAGATTCATCTATGCTGTTACACGAAGCAGTTGTTCATTCTTTTATTACTATAGGCTGTTTCAATTTAAGAAAACACCTCAATAGAAGCACTTGTGGAATGACAGAGTAAAGACCTCCGAAAATGTCTACCTCTATAAAAGCAAAAAGAACACTAGTAAAAATGGTCACAATTAACTTTTTCAAAAGTCTGGAAAGAAACAAAAAATTTACACCAATCTGAGTAGCATTAATTAAAATCATAACTGGATTTTGGTAAAAACAGTGAGTTTTGTGGCATTTTAACTTGACGTTTTACCATAGTCCTCTTCCCACCCAAATCCAGGGTAGCTTTGAAAATCAGCAGACTTGCATCATGTTTTGTAAAAACCACCTTAGCACTCACTGAAGTGGGAAGAAGGGTTTGGAGTTCCAAATACTCCTCAGTGAGTTGTCAGTATTCGATCTGTCTGGCAGCTCCCTGGAAAAGCTCTTTTCACAAAACTTGTCATTTTTACCTGACTCAAGAGTTCACTCAGCAAGGAGAGCTCTATCCAGAAGACAATTTTCAGAAGCATTCAGTGACAATTGTTTGACATTATAGCTGCCTAGGAATTTTAGCCAAATAAGAGGTTTGCCAAAAAACTTTCAATGGAAAATCTGGAAAAGGAGATATGCATAGTGGATTTTTAAAAACTCCAACACATTCCTTGAAATGTAGAAGGCCACATGCATGCCCCAGAAAGTCCTGGCAAAGCTCTATTCTTTTATCTCTTGCACAATTTGAGGCTCTGTGCAAGTAGGAAGTGAAGGCTGAGGAAGGTTTATAAGACACCTGAACACTGAAGGCATGTTCCAACACAAACACACATAGAGCCTCTGGGCAAAATCTGGGAGATTTACTATTTCAAGGCACTTAAGAAAATCTTCCTCCAATCATTAGCTGACCACTAAGCTAACCAAGCAGAGACTTCAGTGGCTACATGCAACAGAAAATACAAATTTTACAGAATTAGTCCAGGAAAGTCACCAAACAAAAAAGAACAACAACAAGCAGTAACAACATTAAATGCTGGAGGGAGAAATTCTGATTTCTGAAGTTACCACATTATATTATATAAATAGTCCAGTTTTCAAAAATAAAAACATATAAGACATGCAAAGACACAGGAAAGTAGGTCCCATACACAGCGGGGAAAAAGTGATTAATAGAAACTGCCCCTGAACTATCCCAGATATTAAGCTTTCTAGGCAAAGCATTTAAATCGGCCACTAGAAATATTTTCAAAAAATCAAAGGAAATACGGTTAATGAACTGAGGAAAGCATAAGAAAGGTGTCTTATCAAATAGAGAATATGAAAGATATATAGAAGTTACTTTAAAAAAAAAAAGAACCAAAGAGAAAATGTGTAATAACTAAACTGAAAAATGTATAATAACTAAATGAAATAACTAAAATGAAAAATTTACCAGAGGAATTCAAGACCAGATTTGAGCTGGCAGAGGAAGAATCAGCAAAATTAAAGAAAGGACAATTAAAGTTGTCAGTTCTGAGAAATAGAATTTTTTATTAAGAAAAATGAACAGAGCCTGTGGAACACACTCAAGAGTACCAAAACGCACCTAATGAAAACTGCAGAAGGAAGAGCGGGAGAGAGAAAGAAAGAAAAATTATTTGAAGAAACAATGGCCAAATACTTCCCACATTTGAAGAAAAACTTTAATCTATAGATCTAGGAAGCTCAACAAACCCAAATGTAATAAACATGAAGAGATGTATCTCTAGATAAATCATAGTCAAACTGCCAAAAAACAAAGAATAGAAATGTAATTTTGTTTATAACACTTTTCTTCTCCTGAATGATTTAAAAGATATCTGTATAAAATAATCATAGAACTCTTTTGATGGGTTTTGATGTATAAAAGTATAATTGGCATGATAAATACAAATAGCACAAAAGAATGGGGAGGGAAGGAGGTACAGTGGAGCAAAGTTTTGGTACATTCTTAAAATTAACTTAGTATTAATCTAACGCAGATCATTTTAACACATCAGTTGCAATCTCCATGGCAACCACTACGAAATTAATTCAAAATAATAGAAGAAACAATAAAGGAATTAAAATGTTACACTAGAAAGTAATACAAAAGCAGGCAGTGACTGAGAAACAAAACACATAAGACATATAGAACACAAATAGCAAAATGGCAGTTGTAAATTCTACCTTATCAGTAACTACATTAAATGTGGATGGATTAAGCACTTGAATCAAAATACAAAGACTGGCAAAATAGATTTTTTAAAATCTAACCTCACTATTGAATCTAAAGTCTTTAAAAGACTTACTTTAGATTCAAAGAACAAAGAGATTGAAATTAAAATAACAGTAAAAATCTCTGGGATTGTTGTAACTAAAGACACTTAGTATTCAAAAGAGACTGTGATTGGCTATATTAATATCAGAAAAATAGAAGTGAGGATTAAAAAAATGCTATTAGAGACAAAAAGAGCATTTTATAACAATAATTGGGCCAATTCATCAAGATGGCTAAACAATTATAAACATATATGCACCTACCAGCGTAGCTCCAAAGACATGAAGTAAAAGGTTATAGAATTGAATAAAGAAATAGGCAGTTCAAAAATAATAGTTGGAAATGTCAATATTTCACTTTAAATAATGGATAGAACAAAACAAGAGAAGACTAACAAGAAAATAGAAGACTAGAACAATATAAGCCAACCAGACCTAACAGGCTTCTGTAGAACATTCTCTAATAATAGCAAAATTCACATTTTTCTCAATGGAACATGGAATAATTTTCCAAGACAGACTGTGTGTTAGGCCATAAAACAAGCCTCAATACATTTTATTTTATTTTATTTTATTTTATTTTTACTTTTTTTTTTTTTTTTAAATTTATTTATTATTATTAAACTTCAAGTTGTAGGGTACATGTGCACAACGTGCAGGTTTGCTACATATGTATACTTGTGCCATGTTGGTGTGCTGCACCCATCAACTCGTCATTTACATCAGGTATAACTCCCAATGCAATCCCTCCCCCCTCCCCCCTCCCCATGATAGGCCCCGGTGTGTGATGTTCCCCTTCCCGAGTCCAAGTGATCTCATTGTTCAGTTCCCACCTACGAGTGAGAACATGCGGTGTTTGGTTTTCTGTTCTTGTGATAGTTTGCTAAGAATGATGGTTTCCAGCTGCATCCATGTCCCTACAAAGGACACAAACTCATCCTTTTTTATGGCTGCATAGTATTCCATGGTGTATATGTGCCACATTTTCTTAATCCAATCTGTCACTGATGGACATTTGGGTTGATTCCAAGTCTTTGCTATTGTGAATAGTGTCGCAATAAACATACTTGTGCATGTGTCTTTATAGCAGCATGATTTATAATCCTTTGGGTATATACCCAGTAATGGGATGGCTGGGTCATATGATACTTCTAGTTCTAGATCCTTGAGGAATCGCCATACTGTTTTCCATAATGGTTGAACTAGTTTACAATCCCACCAACAATGTAAAAGTGTTCCTATTTCTCCACATCCTCTCCAGCACCTGTTGTTTCCTGACTTTTTAATGATCGCCATTCTAACTGGTGTGAGATGGTATCTCATTGTGGTTTTGATTTGCATTTCTCTGATGGCCAGTGATGATGAGCATTTTTTCATGTGTCTGTTGGCTGTATGAATGTCTTCTTGTGAGAAATGTCTGTTCATATCCTTTGCCCACTTTTGGATGGGGTTGTTTGTTTTTTTCTTGTAAATTTGTTTGAGTTCTTTGTAGGTTCTAGATATTAGCCCTTTGTCAGATGAGTAGATTGCAAAAATTTTCTCCCATTCTGTAGGTTGCCTGCTCACTCTGATGGTAGTTTCTTTTGCTGTGCAGAAGCTCTTTAGTTTGATGAGATCCCATTTGTCAATTTTGGCTTTTGTTGCCGTTGCTTTTGGTGTTTTTGAAAACTGGCACAAGACAGGGATGCCCTCTCTCACCACTCCTATTCAACATAGTGTTGGAAGTTCTGGCTAGGGCAATCAGGCAAGAGAAAGAAATCAAGGGGATTCAGTTAGGAAAAGAAGAAGTCAAATTGTCCCTGTTTGCAGACGACATGATTGTATATTTAGAAAACCCCATTGTCTCAGCCCAAAATCTCCTTAAGCTGATCAGCAACTTCAGCAAAGTCTCAGGATACAAAATTAATGTGCAAAAATCACAAGCATTCTTATACACCAGTGACAGTCAAACAGAGAGCCAAATCAGGAATGAACTTCCATTCACAATTGCTTCAAAGAGAATAAAATACCTAGGAATCCAACTTACAAGGGATGTAAAGGACCTCT